TTTTTTTATGGTTTTTTTTTTTTTTTGTCAATTTTTTTTTCATTAAGTGACTTATTTAGTTTTTTTTTAAATCTATTATAAATCTTTTATATTCTCTCGAAACTCATTTCGAGAACTATATCAAACACATCGAATGATCTAAATAAATATCAAAAATAGTTAAACATACATCAAACGTGTGTGTTAAAAAATGCGTATAACTCGTCTTTCTTCTTTAAAAAAAATCAATTATTTATTAATGTTTATTATTTTTTCGCGACATTTTTTTATAAAAAAAAATATGATATGGTATGACGTCAACTTTTTTGTTTTTTTTGGACGTAAAAATTTAAATCAAGCAAAACAGCAGCACCACACACGTGTTGGAAGATCATTCGTAGTGATTTCAGGAGTAAAGTAAGATATTATGGAATATTCAAGGGTAAAATAGGAAAACACAAAATACGTCTTGAATGAATAGTGTCACTACATTCCCTCTTTTATTGCAGTAGGGAGTATTGATATATATATAGTAGTGAAGAGTCAATAATTGTGGGTAGCAAAAAGTCCATATTATTCTTTTTGTTGTAAAGCTTCATAAATAAATAGTAAATGGGGAATTTTTTCTTTTAATATAGTAGGGCGATAGTAGGGATTTGTTGTTTGAAAATCAACAGTCAAATTAAGGATAAGATGCTAAAAGAAAATGCTTCCTGAATAAATAGTGTAGGCATGATTCCATTTTTAAGAGAGTAGATAATTAATCATAAATTTATGAAACTTAGCCCTAAAACTCTTTTAAGAGGAGATATTTTATCGTGTCACTGATTCAACTAGTGATATAGAGTGTCAAAATCTAAAGTAATATTAATTAAAGCCATTAAGATAAATAAATTAGGAAAATTTCGCCTGGCTTCTCTAATCTTTACGTAATTTAGCACATGTTCTTCAATCAATTTTTCTTAATATTCGAGTCCCACTTCTATTAATTTTGTAATACTAAAATCCCTGGGGACGAAATGTTAAAATTTGACAGATTAAACAAAAAAAAAAAAATGTCATATCAAGTAAAGACTAGTTAGAGAGTAATACAATAACAAGTATGTTCGAGAAATTCTCTTGTAAATTCTATTCATCAAGTCGTTGCCAACTATCAATTCGTTGCATGTCAAAATCGAACAAAACACCTATTCATTTACTAAAGATGATACATAAACTCTTTAGATCGCAACCATCCATCAATCAACAATATATTTAACAACCTAATTTTTTGGAATACTATTCTATGCGTGAATATTTATTTAACAGGGTTTAAATGGCATCCACAATAGAATTTAGTCATAATTGTAAATGTGGTTGAAGGCATAAACCTATATAATTAACGGTTAATCAACTAATATTTAGAATTAATTATACACTAACAATTTACTCGTATTGATTCTAACTGTCTTACAAACTATCGAACTATTGATTAACCGACTTCAATTTAAGCTTATTCTACACATAAACCAATAAAGTTTTTTTAAATTTCAACCACACATTTCTCCAAAAATACTATTCAAAACACTATATTTTCTTCCATAATAAGAGACAAACAGGCTCTAAAATTAGTTAATTATGCATTTCATGTATACATAAATTCATGTTTTCCAATATAACAATAATATATTGATCTTCAAAATTAACTCAAGCATAGAACATGCGATATAACGTTGTAAATCTCTAAGGGAAATATCAATAGCTCTTGTGCCACAGGTAAAAATTATTCACTATAGAAGAAGGATACAATCGTTTCAAATTTTATATCCGAATTGTTCTACGAGTCGAAATAAGAACCTCGTTTATTTTCATATCGAGATGCAACTTCTATCAATGAATCCTTAAATGAGAGGTTTTGATTTCTGCATTAATTGTCCAAGAAATTTTCGTGTCTCACCAATTTTTCTATAGCAAATTTCATATGTTCGTTTGTAGCACTAAACTGTAGAGTGACGGTTTTTATGCATCTAACACAAGGAAAGATATTAGTATTTTTGATAATCATAATATTTAAGAGAGTTAAATAAAAATTTTCAATTAATATCGATCACATCTTCCCTAAAGAAATAATGAAAGTCTTGGACTTAGTTTGAGTGGTCACGTGAGAAGTTATATATACAAAATCACCACCTAACTAATATGGTAAGTTGGTGAGTCAAATGAATTTTAACAAATATATGAATTATGTGACTTAGTGCGAACTCACTGAATTAACCAATACAGCACATGAAATTTCATTAAAATTCACGAAATTGCTTAATAAAAAAATTTAAATTTATTTGACTCATAAAGTCAAAAATAATAATTATAAATAAAATGTGTTCCAAACATACTTTGCACGATGTTCAATTTACATGAACATAAATTATTAAATCTTAAAAATTTATTAGTTTGCGTACAAATATGGATTAATCAAGAATGTACCTTGATCCATAGCGATTGATCGTTTATTATATATCTTAAATACGTGTCGAACAATTTAATTGCAAATCTTAAATCTTGTAGGTAAAATAGACTTATTCAAACTTTTTTTTTCTTTTCAATTCAATCAATCAAAAAGTTTACCATGCTAATATGACACTAAAAAAATTGATATTGTAAAGAGCTCTGTCCATATGTAAAGGCTCCTTTATTAAACACGTCTGACTCAACATTTTTTAGAATATTTTATTAATTTATTTGAGTAAAAACACAACGTGATTGATGTTTCATGAAAAATACTTAGCGCTACAATAGAAATCGAACCATAACAGCTACAAAACCATGCTATTTCAACATGACATGACTCATGCCGAACTCGAATTAAGCCAATGCTCACCTTGACCCCACCCGAGCCGAGCCGCTAGAAAAATCGAATAAAATTAAATTAATTGATTTTCAACAATTGAGGAATTCAATATTAGTGATTCAATTGAATCGAAGGGAACTGGAGGAGCTGATTCTACAATAACCATAGAGAAGCCAAGGCCTTAACCACGTGAATCCAAAACCATCAAATCACCCAAAAATCCGTTACAGTTCTACATATAAGTTTACCGAAACTACCCAAATTCTTTCCCGCCTATAAGGGTCATAAATGTAAATTCACTATTACCCTTAGAATTCAAGCGCCAAAGCAAAACCCCCCATACACAAATCATTTTTCTTTCTTCACTCTCAAGAATTGAAACAAATTTGAGAGAGAGAAAAAATTAAGCGATTCAGATAGTGTTCTTCAATGGCTTCAACTATAATTGAAGCCTGTAATAAGAGAAAAATGAGAAATTATTCAAAACTCTTTGAATTTGAAAAAGTTTCTAGCCTGTGTGGATCATTCAGAGAAAACATTCGATGTTTTCTACAAGATGCTGCGGAACTTGAAGATTATAGGGTTAATGGGATGCCAATATGGTGCATTCTGATTGTTTCTGAGCACAATGGTGTTTTCCCACTCTATACTATTGAAGAAACCGTTGAACACTCTGTGAATCCTTTCTGTGATCACTGTAAATTATCAGGTGTTATAGTTTATTCCCATGATTTTGTGATTTTGAATTTTAGTTTCTATTTTTATTTTCTGAAAGAATTTGGTTGTTATGGTTATAGGATGGGGACACCATTATGTGTCGAAGAGGAGATATCATTTCATAATTCCAGCAAATGAGAGTTGGAATAAGCCAGTTAAGGGGAATTTCTCTGAGCTTCAGAGCCATAATTTATACGGTTTGATTCATTGCAATGGATATGGGCATCTTATATGCATCAATGGGTTTAAAGAGAATTCGATCTTCGATATTGGTAGCGATTTTATGGATTTATGGGATCGTCTTTGCACAACTCTTAAAGCGAGGTAAAATATTGAACAATGTTCTAGAAAATTATGTTTTATTTGATGAATTTGAAATTATGAATCTGAATTTCGAGAAATTTTTCAGGGAAATTTCCGTCTGTGACGATTTGAAGAAGAGAAAAATGGAGCTGAGATTGATTCATGGTGTGGCATATGGGAGATCATGGTTTGGAAATTGGGGTTACAAATTTAGTACTGGGAGTTTTGGGGTTACAGAACAGAAGTATGATACAGCAATTCAGATACTGGGTTCATTAGGCCTCGATAAAATCATTACTGATTTCAAGAATGATGGAAAAGGAATGGAAATCAAACAAATAATTGACAAGTACAGAGAATTGAGCGAAAAACCATTGATTACTATCAGCGATTTGTTGCAATACATTTTTGCTAATCCTTGTGGATATGAGTCGAAAACAGAGGACAGTCCGATGAGTTTCAGAACATTTGTGAATTTATTGGCAAAAGGTGATTGCCGATGGGCTTCTAGGAGACTTGAGCATGTGCTAGTCGTAATTATAAAGCTCTTGAATGAGCACAAAGCTAATAATCTTAATAGAAAATGTGGTATGTCTAGGCATGAGCTAAGGGAAGAGGCAAGAAAATATATTGGGGACACAGGTTTAATTGATTTTGTGCTCAAATCTATCAAATCTTTTACTGTGAACAATCAAATTATTCGACGAACAATAAATCCACTGACTCGATTAGTGGAATTTACAATTTATGATGTTGTTAAAGAAGCAGAAGGGTTGAAGTGGCCAATTTCAAGAATGGATTCTGGTTGCAGATATTCAAGAGATAAACTGGAACAAGCAGCAAAAGTTGTGGTGAATATTTTGAAGGAAAATAGAGGTATAGATTCTATGGCACGGCAAGAATTGCGAGACAGAGCTAGGGAGTGCATTCGTGACACTGGATTGATTGATTATGTGCTGAAATCATTAGATAATGCTGTTCTCGGGAATCAAATTGTTTACCGGTCAAAAAATCCAACTACGAATAGGATCGAATATTCTCTTGTAAGTGTTACAAACCAAGTGTTACCTACTCCGGATAACGAAGTGGACCTGTATTTAAATAAGGATATCCTATTTCTGTATGAGAATGTGCTGTTGGGCTATTCTGAATCAAATGATGTTGGTGTGGCAACTCAGCTTGTGTTGGACAGCAAGCAATTTGTGAAAGTGTGGAAAATTGAAGGACAAGTTATGAACCAGTTAATGACATTGGCCTGCAAGGTATTGCCTAGTTTTCACGAGTTGGAGACTGAGCTGACTAGGCCGTTGTCACCTGGGGTTACAGTAATGATCCCACCTGGGATTACCATTGGTGACCTTAAGGTGGTGGCACAACGTGCACTGAGGGATACTTATTGCATTATGGATGACTTTGTGGTAAAGCAAATTGGTGGGTTGCGAGGAATAGATGACGACAAGGTGCTGTCTTGCACCTTGGAGCCTGGTGCTCACGTATGGGTGAGAGGGTGTGGGATGGATTTGGCTACAGAACTAAGGTATGAAGATGGCACCTACAAGTCCACAATGGACCGTAACATGGCTTGTAACGTTGAAGAGGAGGATGTTGAAGTAGAATCAATAGGAAAAGTGTAAAAATTATAGTAATTTTACAGAACTAATGAAGATATTGTTAGTTATTCAGACATATAGTAACTTTGTAGCAGTGCTGACAATTACCCTGCTAAAGAATTGTGTAGTGCAAGACTGCGAGTTTTACAACTGATTTGGGCATGGTAAAATTATAGCTCGTTTTCAAATTTCTAAGTACATTTGTGAATGGAATTTCAAAGAAATCCAAAATGGACACCCGACGCCTCAACATTGGCCGAGATGCCTGCCACACCTGGGCCCACAGGTGCCTCAGTCAATACCGAGTCGCCGGGTGTCCATTTTGGACACCAAAATGTCCAAAATGGACACCGCAATGTATCTCAAACATTTTTCTTAAACTTATCAGTCCTCATTTAATTTACAAACTTGTCTTCACTTAACTGACTACGTCGCGCTAGGTTCAGGATTTGGGATTAGTGATCCAAACTCTTATGATGATGGACCTTGCCAAGAATAGCCCAAAAATTCTGAAATTAAGCTTTTCAATGGTAGACACTTTCGAACGACTGCAAAAGCCAAAACAATTATAATTGACTTGGACTCATTCAACCTCTGTCTTCATTGAAATCATTCAACCTCTGTCTTCATTGAAATCATTCACACAATGTATTAAAATAACTCTTGTTTTTCTTTTTTTTTTCTTTTTAATGATTTTAGACATTTAGCACATTTTTTACGACTAAATTACCAGAAACATATTAAAAGACACTATAACCACTTCTCCAGCGATCTCCCATTTAACATCATATTCAAGCTGGTAAATTCTAAGGATTCTGATGCTTGAGTTTTAATAACAGAGTACACTGAACTATGAAACTCCAATCTCCCACAACCGATGCAGGGTTGTACAAGTAAAGACTCGACAACTCTCTCTCAAATGCCATATAACCAAGTGCATGGAAAATAATAACTAAAAATAGATTTAGAAAATGCTTCCAAAAATAAGACAAAAACCTCACTGAATAGAATACACGATAATTCTATTTTCCACGAGTATAATTTAGTTCCTTCTACCTTTATTTCGCCTGGATGCAACTACAGTCCATCCATCTTCTACTTCAGCAACTTCCCGGGGTCTAGGTTCATCAATCATCATTTCCTCTTTATTCAAACTTGAATCGGGATCATCAACTGTCATTTCTGTTGAATTATCACCATCATGATCGTTGTCGTCATCACTATCATCTTCATCATCACTACGAGCCTGACAAGGTAGAAAAGAAATGTCAGTTGTCTATATTAGTAATAGAAAGGATAAAGAAACAATCTTTCTTTCATTAAATTAAATAATAATAAAATAAAAAATAACAGTCGACACTTTAAACAATAACCTTCATAAATCGTGGAACCTTTTTTCCCTTAATCCATGTTAATAAATAGCTAAGGTCTTCAGTAAGAAAGCATCAAAGAACTTCGTCAAATCCATCATGTTAAATTCTGAATGATTTTCCATTATGAAGTACCAGCCAAAAGCTTTTATACAATTATCAGAAAAGCAGATTACATACGCAAGCGCAACCACAGATTAGTTCTGTCTAAATTTGCAAGTCCAAATAACATTTTTATCTACTTGTAAAATTAGCGAAGGACAAAATCATAGAATCGTTCATTAGTTTGGCTCCATATGATTACCAGTCATTCAAAGACCTGATTACAAATAGGGAATCCGTTTCAAAATTAATTAATTACACACACACACACACACGTGTGTGTGTGTGTGTGTGTGTGTGTGTGTGTGTGTGTGTGTATATGCATGCATATGTATATGTATATGTATACATATACATATATACGTGTATCTATATATGTATATGTATGTATATGTATAGAACTCAAAAACATACGCAATCATATATTTATTGTTCCTTGTTAAAAACCATTCCAGCCCCAGGGTTTTCATTTAATAATACAACAAGCTCCGTTCATGAACACCAATAATATTGATCCAAATAATAAAACTTGTTCAGCCACTAGAGTGTGATAGTTACCTGTCTTACATAAGAAACACTTGGAGTATTTGTTTCCTTCAGGCTTTTTATTGAGTTAAAGTTACCTTCGGCACATTCTTCATGCATAACCATCAACTTTTCTGCTATCTGAATACAGTTTCCACAGGAACAAGAAGGAAAAAGAAAACAGATAAGAATTAGAAGATATAGGTCTCAATAAGAACTGTGCAACGTATTACAAGTTACTGAACATGAAAAATAACTAACAGAAATTAAAAAAAATTACCATCATCTAGTGGTAATATCATGTAGATCACACTTGTTTCCACCCACAGAAGCATAGTTCAATATGTTCATCCATCATTAATCATTGATAAGCATGTCAATATATAAAATGTTCTAGAGGAGTGGATGACAATTATATTGGTTAATCCAACTTGACTTCAAAATATATAAGAAAACCACGATAACAAAGATATCACTTGAAAAATCAAAGAAATGATTTCTACAGGGACGTAAAAACAAAGTGCTTTTGAAAGTGTTCAAGGCTAAACACCAGTACTATACGAAGTCCACACAGCCAAAGCTTTCTGGTTTGTTATGGACACATTAGCCAAATTTTGACATTTTGCTCTGGTTCATATTACCTATACCATATATATGTATTGAACGTCAGATACTCAAATGACACTGTCAGAGACCTGAGTGTCTTATCCACCTTTCGAAGAAGTTTACAAAGAGCTTTGAGGACTAAGCCGTCTAAGCATTTAGCCTAACTTGACAGTGCTAGAGTTATTGTATTTTTTGAGAGAACTTTTAGAATGCCATCAGATGCATTTGATGATACTTATATCCATATTCATTTCATAATCATGGATAAGTTCTTATATACTAAGCTTATGGTTCACCAATCTTGCGTTTTAGGTGAACATAGATGATAAGTTCCTTAGATCTTTTGTCAATAGCTGGAAGCTTGTAAGCACGTAGAGCTCAAGATATATGGCTGTAGACCTGCTGGGACTATATTTGGATGTATGCTTTCTCTTGAGATTGTAGATATATTTCAGCATGAAGTTTAAGTTGTATGCTTATGTAATATGCTTACAATTATGTAAATTATTTTTCTGTTTAAACTAATGTGCGTTATGGATTTATATATGATAAAAGAGTTATATTTCATTTATACACATTAATCAGGTTCAAGACTGTGTTATACGTCTAGCACACTCGTTAATAGATCAATATTTTTTTTCTAATAAATGATATAGGGTAGTGACAGCAATTGGATCTATAACCTATTGAATGTGATCCAAAAAGGTTATCTACACGGATTCAAAGTATACCTCCAAATCTAATCAAATCTCAGTAACAAATCCTTATACATGGTTCAGGACTTGTTTGTCCAACTCAGCTAGGAAAAAATTTACACTATGGAAGCACATTGATGATATGTCATGGGGGTGACCAACTAAAGTTGCTATCAAGTACTTTCAGGATACATACACTAATTTATGGTCATCAGTTTAATACTGCAAATCATAGGATTATCCCACAAATTAAGCCTAAAATGCACAAACAAACAGGGAGACTAGATTTGAAATAGTCCAAAATTAAGATGGATGCACATAAACTACAGGATCCAAAGGCTTGAAGGCCAAGCTACTTCAATCCTTCTACTTCATGATCATGAAGTATTTAAGTTTGACAACTGAGATTAACCAAGTACATTAGACCCGTTTGACATTTGCAATAATAATAAACTTAGAATTTAGAAAAGAATATCACAGAAGTTTAATTTGTTATAAAAGTATTTCAATTATGTTAGTATGTTCACTTTTAACTGTTTTCATTCTACTTGCATCATTTCGCCATAGAACAAAAGAAGAAAAAAGATTAAAATGCTGATGTATTGAAAATTTAAAGGTTTGACGATGTCGACAATTAGATCTAGGTAACACGTATCAGCATATTTGGATTAGCTTTAAGCACCTCTTGTTTACAGTACACCTCACATACTGTCAGAAAAATATGTTTTTAAACACCCTTTTAAGCTTGGAACTTCATCCAAATGTTCTGGGACTCTAATATTTTAAGTTAACTTTTTGGCTTTTTGTCACCCACTAAAGGAGTCATTAGCCTTTTTTCCCTCAACGAGAATGGGCACTATTGAAATTTAAGAAGCCCCAAAACATCATAATCGAAGGCACCTCTCTGTGAGCATCTACCTGTTCCCAAATAGGTCCAGGGTTCACTGGTCGGGCAAAATAAACTGCCCGAGTCAAGGTTTCACAACAAATATTACCAATCAGAACATTTAATCTTATCAAAACTTCACTCTTTTAACTTTTATATAGGTGGGTTTAACTGCCTGTTCATTTTGCATTCTATATAGTGATTTTCAGCTGTTAGTTTTTCCTTGCATTTGATCCAAATTTCATGGCTTTCACTATGTGTGTGTCAGCATGTATTCAAGCATGTAACTTGTATTCATGTTCTTATATCTATAACTGAAGTTCACAAATAACACCAAGAACGTACCTCCTCAATGCTACCATCCTCTATCTCAGCGTTGAGAGAGAGCATGAATTCATCCAGCATATCCTCTAAATCATCAATGTATACTTTTTCTGAACACCAAATTAGACAAATCAATATCATGATGGTTGCGACAGGCAAACGACATTGTAATTCCCTATACCTAAAAAAATTAACGCAAATGCATCTCTATCGTCCACAGACACGAGCTAAAAGCAATAAATAATAATCTTTTAAATTGTAATTTAGCATTTACAATTGCGTGCGTGTGTCCAATCAAATAAGAACAAAGAAAATACCTTTGGATTGAGTGAGGGCTTGGAAGAGAATTTGGGTCAGTGGTTGAGATTTCTGGACGGAATCACGACCACCCCACTCATTCTCGACGGCCATTCGAAGAGCAGCCCATCGGGAGAGCACCAAATTTATGCCCTCGTGTAGCTGAGCAGCGGCCTCCGCCGTCAGCACCGGATTCTTATTGCTGTCCACCATAACTCTGTGATCTGATTTTCCACTTCTCCGCTGCCAATAAGCCCAAAACCCTACTTCTGTCTCAGTTCTAGACGATTTCGTATTGGGTTAATTATTTCGGTGGCCTGAACTCTAATTTATTTCGATATAGCCACCATACTTATCAAGGTGTCATTATGGCCATTAAACTTTAATTTGTTACACCATAACGATTGAACTTTATAAAACCCTTCAATCAGGCCATCGAGTAGATCGTCCGTCTAACATTTAACGAAAAAATCAATGTTGACATGCAATTTCAAAAAACGTGTCATTTTCCTTTTAATTAGTGAAGTAAAATAAGCAATCCATATTCCATGCGTAATTGCTATTTACTTACCTTATGTTTGAGCCCCATCAAAAATGAATTTGAAAAAAAAAAAAAAATTAAAAAATGCCATCAAACATGATGGACGGTACACAGCAGAACGCGACTTTAGTCAATTAATCAAGACAGAGAAGGCGCGTTTTTAATTAGCCACCATATATATATATATATATATATATATATATTAAAATAAAATAATGATTTTTGGGGAAAATGTGTAGTAATAGAAGTTTTTTAAGTGTGTGTATTTTGAAAAGAGGGGCTTGGCATCTCTACAAAACAAAAATGTAGTTCTGTATAATAAGCATGCAATGAGGTGACAAATATTTTAACTTTTTTTCTCTGTGCGCTTATTTAGAAGGTGTTTGATAGGGATTAAAATTAAATTTTTTAGTAGATTATGATAGAAGTTTTTGAAATGTATAATTGAAAAGTTGTGAAACCCATGAGATTTGTGATTAATATTGATTATTTGACTTTAATTTAAATTTAAATAAGATTTAATTCGTATCAAATGTGCTCTTAAAGATATTAGGAATAATAAGTCTTTTTTTATTCTTTACTTAAATATAGCAAGATTAATAAGTCTTTTATATGCCTTCTTACGGAGGTATTGGACGGAACTGTCAAACTAACTAGCACGTGTTTGATATAAATTAAAATTTAAATCAAAATTAACAATTAATTTTTAACTATACATTTTATTAGATTTACAATTTTAACAACTTATTTTAACTACACATTTTTTTGGATTCACAACTTTTCAACAACATATGTTATCAACGTTTATCAAAATTTACCAAAAATCTTATTTTAATCCCCAACAAACCGGGGTTAATGAAATGTTGAAGATAAGAATATGATTTAGAAAGTTGAACCCGAGTATGATTATAAGCATAGACTATAGACATTGATTACAATTAGACTGTAATAAAGGAATTGAAATAGGGTAATTATATTATCATAATAACATATTTTGTTACACCACAATTTTAAATTGTTTCAGGGAGCTGTCATCCGCTATTTTTATATATTCATCGACTTTTAAGAGAATTTCTACATTTTATTTTTCAAATTATGTAAATTTACTTAAATAGAGAAAAGTAAAACTAAATAAAATTTAGGAAAAATTACAGCCGAGGTACCAAACCTTTCGTTTATTATCAGACTTTGCCCAAACCTTTCATTTGTGCCGTTAGAAGTACCAAACCTTTCAAAAATTCGCACACGAAGTCCAAATGGATGGAAACTGTCCATTTGACCGTTAGTTGATCAAGAAAAGTAAATTTTAACCTATTTTGACCAAATTGAAATGGGTAAAATGGTAACTTGATAATTATAATATTAAATAAATTGAACAAAGAAAAATAAAAAAATCAAGAAAAAATAAAAAAATGAAGAAAAGAAATTAAAAAAGGTTGTCTTCTTCATCGCACCCCACCCCAAGGCTTCCTGCATTTCCTTCAAGGATTCTGCTTGCCGATGCTTCGGATTCATGATTTCCAAGAAGTACATCTACACCATTGATGATGACTGTTTTGTAAGTTCACTACCCCCATTTCTCCATATGTGTATGTTTCTGTGTGTGAGTTGACGCGGTGGTGAGTTTGGATGGATCTGGATTTCGAAAGTCAACATGCCATTAAAATAAAATATTGCTCAACCCATCACCACCTCCCCTAAAGATTTGTCAAACCCCCACATTTGGGAGGGCAAAAAAGAAGAAAAAGAAAAATGAAAGAAAAAAGGTTCTCATTTATTCTTCTTCTAAAGCTTTTCTGATAGCTTCTTGAAATATGGGGAAGAGATATTGGGATTGAAGGACTAATTTGGAGGACAAAGAATTGAGTATTTGATAGAGAAATTGTTGTAAATTTCTTGATTTAATTGCTTCTAATGCTGATTCTTTGGATTGAGCATAATGGCTCCTTGATGTACCACATTGCGTTGAACATAATGGGGTGGGAAGGTTGAAGAAGACAACCCTTTTTTAATTTCTTTTCTTAATTTTTTGATTTTTTCTTGATTTTTTGATTTTTTTTGTTCAATTTATTTAATATTATAATTATCAAGTTACCATTTTACCCATTCCAATTTAGTCAAAATAGGTCAAAATTTACTTTTCTTGGTCAACTAACGGTCAAATGGACGGTTTCCATCCATTTGAACTTCGGGTGCGGATTTTTGAAAGGTTTGATACCTCCAGTGGCACAAATGAAAGGTTTGAGCAAAGTCTGCTAATAAACGAAATATTTGGTACCTCAGCTACAATTTTCCCTAAAATTTATCCACTTATATTTATCCTCATTAAATATTTTTGAACATGTTAACACATAAAAATTCAGCCCAAATTGAACAGCCCAAGGAGTGAAGCCCAATTGCAGGATCCCCAAATCAGATAGCCCAAAGAACGAAGCCCAATCGAACAAATCAAGATGAAAGCCCAAATAAGGAGGCCCGAGAATGCGGTAACGTCATCGCCTAAGTTTGCAAGTCGCCCAGAATTTAAACGAATAGAGTGTCATACGGTCGCCCAGAACTGTTACTCTATTCTCGCCCAAACCTTCAAATCGCCCAAGGTATTAACAAACATAACGCGTTGTGATTATCAAGAAGTGCAGTTATCAAAGCAGTTATTAAAGCAGCCCTATCACGTTCCACGATTTAAGGAATTTAACCGAAAGCGGTTGAACGATGAAGGGTAATGGCAGCAGTTAAAAGGCAGTTTTCATAACAAGGTGGCCATTACGAAGAAAGTGGGTAGTTATAGGACGATCAAGCAGTTTTTAGAGTAGTTGATCACAAAGAGATCGTTTATGAAGTATAAAAGGGAGAAAGGACATAGAAGCAAAAGACCGAATCCAAAACTCTCGAACAGAGAACATGTAATTTTCATTTCCTTAGTTTTTAGACTTAAGCACTTTTCTTTCAGTAACTCGTGTGCTTGCGCCCTTTAGATGCACGTTGTCTTTCGTTTCCAATTGTAAAGTTCATCGCCAATAAAAAAAAACCCCTTTTTGGGACTTTGTCTCAAGAGGTTTCGTCCCTTACACAATCGTCTGACCCTTTTTAATTGTTAGTGACTAACCCGCGCGAAACAATTTGGCACGCCCAGTGGGACAGTGGTGTTAGGTGTTGAAAGTACAAAAGGGGAAACAATATGCCTCAGAGATCCGATAAGGAAGCAGCAAGTCAGGAAGGAATCCAGTCTGTGATCGAGCGATATGAGGAGCAGCATGCCTCTCCACGAACAGATGGACAGAACCAGAGCAGTAACAGTCGTTATGAACCAATGACGGAGTTGAGTCCTCGAACCATGCGTGCATTACTTGGAGAACTCACGCAAGACGTCGTTGAACAGGTAAATCTTCGAAATATTCATAATATGGAAAGATTTACTCAAAATGGGAATATGCACTATGACAACATGGCCAAACAACTAAAGACATTGAACGAGACAATGAATAAGTTAGTAGGTCAAATATATCAACCGGCTATACCTCTTACAAACCACTTTCAAATTAGGACAATTGTAGGACATAATCCCTCGGTCCTAAATCCGAGTCAAGGGGTAGAACCGCTTTCTGGTCCCTCTATTTCAAACCAAGGAGGTACTACAATGCCAAATCAGAACAATGATAGTAGTATGCCTAACTTGGGAAGTAATCCAAACATAAGAGATAATGTCCTAAACAATGGACAACAGACCCCACGTGTTAATGAGGGAACAGGCGTTCAGGCTAATGGTAATGGCCCTAATTATGGTAATTTTGTTGCTAATTAAGGACCAAACATCAGGCCTCATGCAAATCAACCGGTTAATCAGTCTGTAGGAATTCCATATGACCCCAACACCATGTTGAGGAACCAGATTATGGAAATCGTACAGGATCAGATGGCTTTTGGGGTACGTCTCGTCATCAGGCCGACGTACACAAAGTCGTATCCTGATTGGGTAGACCAAGCATATCCATGGCCTAGAGGGTACAAAGTACCAGAATTCTCACTATTTCCGGTTTAGGAGAGGTGTCTACTCTAGAACACATAGGACGATTCACATTGCAGAGTGGTGATGTAACCGACTACCATAAAATGAGGCTTTTCCCTAGTTCGTTAACAGGAGTAGCTTTCTCCTGGTTCATCAACTTGCCAGCGAACTCTGTTCAAACATGGCAGCAATTAGAACAGTTGTTTCACGCTCAGTTTTATAAAACTGAGTCTGAAGTCACTTTGGCCGATTTGGCGAATTTACGTCAAATGCCAAATGAATGGGCAGAAAGTTTTCTCCAAAGGTTTAAGACAGTAAGGAGCAAGTGTTTTGTACCTCTACCCGAAAAAGAATTTGTCAAGATTGCTCAGGGCTGCTTGAGTTTTGATTTAAAAAAAAAAAGTTCCAGGACAAGGAATTTCCTGATCTTTTCCAGTTGAGTGCTAATGTGATTAGGTATGAGCGACTGATAAGAGAGGAAGAACAAATGAAAAATTCTAGTAAAGTGACTTATTACAAAGACCCAAATTTCGATGTTCATACCATCGACGATGAGTCATATGATCAGGCCGAAATGTGTTTGGCCGAATTGGTCAAAGGGGATACATATACTTGTCCCATAATGGCCAAGCCTAGACCATCGGGCAAAGATGAGCCCATAAAGGATGGAAACATAAAGGCTAGAACGTTCTCGTTCGACGTGACCAAAGCTGACCTTATATTCGATAAATTATATAGGGATAATCAGATAAA